CTGTCATGACGGGTTTCATATTCAGTGGGTGCCAATACCGTGCAACCTGGTACAAGATGAACGATTGTTTCTAGGTAATTATCATAGACCTTGCATTATTATTATTATTATTATTATTATTATTATTATTATTAATTTGAAATTGTGATGATTATAATGCGATGGAACTCTCGAAAATGACATGAATATTGGACGCATGATTGTATCTATTTTAAGTTTGATCCCTGTATTATAACTTGTTCAGCCCGTAAAGAAAAAAATAATTTCTAGATCACCCTATCGACTCCTGTCTAATTCATCCTTCTTTCCTTTCTTTTCTTTCCCTCCCTCTCTCACTCTCTCCTTCTCTTTCCTCTCTCCCTTGCCTTCCCTCTCTCACTTTACCCCCCCCCATTTTTTTTCTTAAAAACCTTATATTGAAAATTTTCTTTTCTTTCTTCCTCTTTTAATATAAATAAATATTTCCTTTTCTTTTTTTCTTTCTGCCCCTGCTTCTTCTGTCTGGAGAAATTGACTCCATTTATTAAAAAACTTCGCTCCGAAGAGATGAATATTTGTATATATTCAGGAAATAAATTATAACCGAATGGTTTTTTAAGAATCATCTGTAATTTTGATTATCTATCTATCTATCTATCTATCTATCTATCTACCTATCTATCTATCTCTCTCTCTATATATATATATTATGTTGGGTCAGATAGTTGAATGATAATTTCAGATAACATTTATTGTCCTTCGGCCCATAAAATGTTTTATGCAAATAAATTGTGTGATATTCATATGGATTGCACAAACTTTGAATAAACTTCACTTAGAAAGGAAAATATAGCACTGATTGCGTTATGTTTATTTTTCTTTAGAGAAATGACATTTATATGCAAATTTAGGCTTTTCATTTCTTGACTGGAACAAATTCAGAATATATTGACAGTGGTTTTTGTATTCTATGTGGAAAGATAAGGTTTTTGTTACAATGACAATGAATCTTTTCACGTATTAACAAAGCAAATCATTTTAAGTAATTTAAGTAGATTTTCATCTAGCGGCAAAACAGGATTTTCGTCTCGTTTTCTAATTAAACGATTTTTTCGTCTTTTATACGGATAGCAGTTATGCTATAAATTTGAATACTTGTTTTAAATCAATATAAAATAGCTATTTTTCAAGATGAATGGGAATGTGCCAGGTGCACAAGATTTACATATACATGCATTCATACATACATACATACATACATATCTATCTATCTATCTCTCTATCTATCTATCTATCTATCTATCTATCTATCTATCTATCTATCTATAGACAAACAATGTGCTTGCCACAGCCTTGATGGATTCCCACCGTTATGCCTGATTCCTATACACCATCATTTGCCTTTTCAGTCAGGAGCTGGTTTTGAATATCTTGTCACACAGCGCACAGACTGTGATATTCTGTGTCTGCGGAATGTCAAGGGCTATTTTTTCTTTATGTGACTTCATATGATTCACCCATTCAGCCTTTAAAGCATTATGCGCTGACAGAAATCACATGTCAAGCTCTTCATGGTTATCACCCATTCGAAGTCGCCGCTTCATACATACATACATACATACATACATACATATCTATCTATCTATCTATCTATCTATCTATCTATCTATCTATCTATCTATTTGAATAAAAACAGACGACTTTAAGGTTCCATGTAATAAATTATTTCACCACAGCCCTTTTAAAGGGCTCTGGATCATCAGACTTTACTTCCAAAGGTTTCATTTCAACCTTTGGAAGTAAAAGTCTGATGACAAACCAAAAGGCAAATAATTTATTACATGGAACCTTAAAGTCGTCTGTTTTATTCAAATTTATTTGCTCTGAATTTACATTGAGCTCTCTGGATATCATCCTCCTTGGGTCTACCCATACGTATTACCTAGTTTTGCATAAACTATATATATATATATATATATATATATATATATATATATATATATATATATATATATATATATATATATTCATGCAAGCACTAAAGATTGGTTAATGACCAACGAAAGTTTTTCTTAAAGATTTTTCATTTATTTTTCTATATTTTATACCATTTCCTGGTTTTTGACTTCCATGAAAAAAAATGGCACAATATAAAATGACGAGTGAAGATGTGAAACTCGTAAAGAACGAAATCGCGTGTGAAGATGTCATATTTGAAAAAATATATACATGAAAAAATCACAAAAGATACAATACAGACATGCAGTCACAATATTATCAAGAATAACTTTTGATAATGGCTTATGAAAACCAAAAGGACTAAGACAAAGGATAATTTATATTGAAATTTTCATCAGAAACAAGTGAAATCAACCAAAATCTTTAACAAAGAGTTTTCTTTTGTCTTGAACCGTATAATATCTATCTATCTATCTATCTATCTATCTATCTATCTATCTACTGGGTGTATAAAATATACTCTTACAAACTTTGGATGTGGGTTCATCAATCCAAAACAAGGACAAATATCCATATAAACATATGTCCGCAAATCCTTCATTTTTGTGTTATTAAGTTTAAAGGAAATTTGCGGTAGATGGCGCCGTATTGCCATTAGACTAGGTTAAATTTGTCATTCGTGTACATTTGTGACTAGTCTGTCATCAACGTTTAACGTATTTAGTAGCGAGGTAACTGAGAAGGGATACGTTTAACAATGACAGGATATTCATATCGTGAGCAGGCAGGTATGATTTTTACTTACGGCCGCGCGAATGGTAATGGCTGCCCGGCGGTATCACATTGCGTTTCCAGACCGAAGTCATCCAATTTTTGCTACTGTTTATCGTGGCGTTACTGTGACAGGACCCGTGGCCCCGAAAACTATTGAAGAAGACCGAGATCGGTTCGTACGCCTGACCACGAAGAACATATTCTACAGGATGCCGAAGACGATCCCGTTATCGGCACACGTCAAATGTTCCTAACATGTCGTGCATCACTGCATGGAGGGTATTTCAAGAGAAGCTTGCGGGATAACTATTGCCGATGGTTTATTGCACAAAATACTAATCCGTTGTTTGCCTCTTTAGTCTTGTTTCCAGTTGAGGAAGCAGAGAAGAGATGGAATAACAAATATACACAAACAAAATGTCTGGCCAGATTGGAATCCCCATGGTACAATACAGGCTAGAAACCAGCATCAGTTTACGATTAATTTGTGACTGTCTGGAAGGTCCATATGTTCTCCCAGCACGTATCACAAGAGCTGTCTACAGAGACTTTATTTCGAACACACTTCCAGACCTGCTAGAGGATGTACCCCTGCTATTAAGAAGAAGCATGTGGTTCAAGCATGATTGGACTCCAGCATATTTTAGTCACATTGATAGGGATAGATAGTGGATAATCGGTTCCATGGCCTGCATGTTTTCTCTGACCTCAATTCATTGGATTTTGATCTGCGGAGCAATCTAAAGCAACTGGTCTATGCAGCAGACATGAATAATACAGAGACGATTCATCAATGCATCATGGGGGCCTGTGACATCATTTGACACCGTGTGGAAGTATTTAAAAGGGTCTGCCAGTCGTGCATGCGCGTGCAGACTTAAGTGGGAGACATCTTGGATATTTGTTATGAGTTGCCGTGTTGAGGTACAACGATGGCCTTTTGGACACATTTTTATAGGGATATTTTACCTTGTTTTGGTATGAGGAACTACCCTAAAGTTTGTAAAATTATTTTTGATACAACCTGTATAAGTATATATATATATATAAGAGTTATATATAAGCTATATATATATATAAGCGACTTAATAGACATTTTGTTTATTACCGTTTTTGTAAAATTTTCTCTTATAACGGAGAACTCATGTTTGTGAAAGTGTTTTCTTTTATACTACAGTTACAAATAGATAGTTTTTTTTTGTTTAGATTTCGTGTTTGGCAACGATTACAGTCCTTGGCATCGATGTTAAGTATTTTTATCGTTAGAAAATCTGGTTTATTTTGGAAATTGTGCGTCAGTAAATGTCTACACCAGACAAATCGAAAATAATCTCCGTCTTTTAAAAGAGTTTCGTTTATACCTTATAATCCAGCTTTTAGATTCTAACAGATTTTTACTACTCTGTGTTTATCATAAGAAACTGTCTTTTAAAACCTCTAACTCTATACAAGTCTTTCCGTGTTACGATGGGTTTCCTTTCGTGTTGGTTCTGACGTACGTTAAATTCCTTCTGTAGCGAGTTGAGGTACTGCCATTTCATATTAGTATCTTATAAAATCTGACTTTTCTCTTTTATTTTTCATGCCCAGAAAATAACACACTATGGAAAAGATTTTTTCCACACGTTGCCTTGTTGAAAAAAATATGCAGTAATACCTACTCATGATCTTTATGTTTTAAAAGCTGTCAGAAATAAAAAAAAATATAAATATGACTACGTAATTATTTACAGGATAACGCAATCAAGTGTCTATGCCACGAAGTAAACACGAATAAGGCTGGGAAACTCCGTCAGCAATGGCTTATATTATAGTTTCCCCACTAATATAATATGTCTTTATATTCTTAAGTGCGACTCGTTGTAATTATTGCATATTGCACTCAAGAATTAGCTGTTTAATTTCAGTTGAATGTCATTGCGTTGTCAAGCTGGAATATTGTCCCATATGACCTTTTAGAAAGTAAAGGGAACTAGAGGACAGTGGTCATCTTTCTTTCAAGAATAATGTAACAAATAGTATTGATTTACAGTAGCAAATCAAGCAAGAATCGGTAACCTAGCTGATTTCCCTTATCTGACACTCATTGTGACATGCCAATGTCAAGACCCTTATAAAGTTATCTGGAGATAAGGAAACGCACAGGGATCGAATTATTCAAGCTTCTTCAAATAGCATTAGTGAAAAATGATCACAAGTAGACTTAGATCTAATTCGAACATCGTGCAGCTAAAATCATTGCAATATCAAAACACAAAGTGAATAATGCAAGCTTTTTTCGAAAATGTTTAAGTTAGAATTTTTTTGTTGATGTTACTGGGTACCTGTTTAAATCTACAAACAAAAAGACGTCCGAAAGAGAAAACTCTGCAAAATTGAGAGAAAGAAAAAACGAAAGAAAAAATAAATAAAGAAAAAAACGAAAGAAAAAATAAATAAAGAAAAAAACGAAAGAAAAAATAAAGAAAGAAAAAACAAAAGAAAAAATAACGAAATATCAAATAACTAAAGAAAAAAAAACGAAAGAAAAAATAATGAAAGAAAATCGAAAGAAAAAATAAAGAAAGAAAAAATAACGAAAGAAAAAATAACTAAAGAAAAAACGGAATAAAAATAAGGTATATTTGTTTGTGTGTGTGTTTGTGTTTCTGAGAGAGAGATAGAGATCGATATGGTGTATATATTTGTCACTATTTATTATTGCACGGTTGAAAATGCTGGGCTTCATGATATTAAAATTTCGTCTGCCGAAATAGGCTATTCCTCATATGAGGTGATTTTGGATTTTATTATAATAATAAATTTTATTATTTCCTCTGTAGTAATAAATACGTTGACTCTTTTTCTGGATCAGTTTTAATATTTTATATTACTAGAATCCACTTTGATTATATATCAACGGATTTGTTACTTTTACTCTCTCTTTCTCTCTCTCTCTCTATCTCTCTCTCTCTCTCTATATATATATATATATTTGATATATATATCAAAATAGCATGAGAATGTCATTTAGCTTCGTCTTGTGCAAATTTACAAGTGGAGAGCACTCACTAAAATGTAAAATTATTATACTATCTAACTGATTTTCAAGCTGAATTTGTTAAAAGTCTTGAGTGAGGAAAATAAACTTTCTTTGAGCAACAATATTGATACCTTTTCATTAATGAACCTTGTCTTTATGGCATCGCCAAAGGTCGTAAAATATATTCGTTCATTTGTTATCTGCGTGTAATTTGCCCTCAACGTAATATAATCAAGAAAAACAGAATTTTCCACTGTTTTTATTTACCGAAAAGTAACGATTAACATATTGAACTTTCAGTAATAATCCTGTATTTAAAATACAACAAAAAGTTATTAAAATCAGACATTTGAAAAGACTTGATGTAACATTATATCCAACACATTCATGCGATGTTTATGGTACAAACATTACTCTACTCGAAAATTATAAAACTCACAATTGCCAAAAGAAGTTTAAATCCTTAGAATTATTTTAAGAACATTCGATACCGATAATATTCCGCTTAAGATGCACAATTAATTGTCAATTTCCTTCTGTCAATTTCCTTCTGTTAATTTCCTTCTGTCAATTTTAAGACTTGAAAAGACGCGAGAATTTTATTGTTTTGAAACGTCTTTATCATTTAATTATATACTTATTCATTCTTTTACTTGTTTACATCTGGTATGTGTTCGTGACCTGGTGACATTGCAAATAAACTGACGATAAGACAGCGTACTTTGAATGTTAGATTCATGTATTTTTCAAGAATGAGTCATTAAGAATTCATAGGCGTCCGCGAACAGAATACACAAGGAAATAAATTGTTCTTTTTTCATTTCAAATAAGCACCATAAAAAACATTATATCTTTGTTTCCTCCACCGGAGACAAAAAGAGAAACAAATAAAAGATATTTCCGATGTTCTCATACATTTTAAGACAGTTGATTATATCTAGAATCAGTTTTGCCGATATTCAAAGTTTGGAGTTTGTAGAAATTTAATATTTTCTTATTTAGAGAAAAAAATGTTTTATCCATGAATATTTCGATCAACATTAAACTAAACAACGAAGTTTCAAACAGTTTGATACGAATCGTACTTTTATTCCTTAAAAAATTAGTGATTTGAATGAATTTTCGTGACTGATAAAGTAAACTGATGACTTATATAATCTGTCCTTAAATTCAGCATTCAAAAAAGTTTGATCTTACATTATATACAGAAAATTTGCTTAAATCCTGTTAGACAATGAATTACTTTTATAGAGGAAACAAATGGGCCATATAAATCATTAATTTATATTCTTCTGAATTCTTGACAACCATTTCGGATAAGCAGTTGTGTTTCTTGACCGGCTCAAGACCCATGAAACAACTTCGTCAGGTTCCAAGGTCAGTCATTAGACGAATATTTACCAGTTAATTTATAGCTGTCCATGTCATTCTAGACGCATTGCCAACAATAATTCAACCATTTTTTGCTTTGCTTGGAATATTGCCCAACTTTTATAGAAAGATAAAAAGTGGAAACGATTATTTTCTTTGCTTGAGCGTAAGATGAGGTTTTTCTGGGAAAGCAGCTGTTTATGTCGGTTCATTGTTGCAGTCAGGAGGCCAAGTTGTACTTTTTCCAGAAGATAGAACCTGCCAACTCCTCAGTGAGTGTGAACAGCCTATTTCAGTCCTCAAAGCAGAACTTGATATAACAAGGGGATAGGGTACGTAGGCGGAAATAATTGTCTGAATTACATTTGGGCTGCACTTGAAATGTAGCAACTCACCGCATTAGACATATGTACCATATTTCATGACGTATTTAAGAGCTCACCTTGAACTCATTGAGGTGGTTACAGCAGACATCGATTTATTTATACGTCAAGGTTAAAAATCAATCGACATTTGAACTAGTGCCAACTATCGATACATCAAAGTGAGATGTGAACAAACAAGCAGAAAGAAAGAGAGTGAGACAACGAGAGAGAGAGAGAGAGAGAAAGAGAGAGAGAAAGAGAGAGAGAGAGAGAGAGAGAAATGACGTATATGATTGAGATGGAGATTGAGGGAGGGAGAGAGAGAAGAATATATTAGTTTTTAACCTTTTTACTTCTTTTCTTCCAAACGCTTTAAGTATTGCCCCTACGGCCTACCATAATATTAAAACGATAGAGTCTTGATTACACATACACAGTCTTTATTCTACGCTGCTATGATTTAATGAAGCTGGCAGTAAATAAGCCGTATTGTTTTCGATGATTTGTGATTAATGCCGTGTTCTATGGCAGGACTCAAAGTTAAATAGTGTTGGTTCTCTGGTTGATCTTAATGCCACAGTAGCAAAAATGTTGATTCTTCCGTGTGAAGATTAAAAGTGGTAGCGACTCTGTGAGGATAGCTATCATTAAATCATATTTTATTATTACTAGTTTAAAGTCACCGTCAGAAATAACTTAAATCGTTTTGAAGCTGTATCCTACTTTCTGCATGGAGAATCTAAAATTTTAATCTATACAATTATCTATCGTCTCATGTAAAAAATAATTCTGTATTTTTTTTTAAATCATTAAAAGTATTAAATATCGAAATAAGGTTCATACGAAATTAAAATCGATGTTTTACCAACTCGATTTCTCCTACTTACTTAGGAGATATTTGGCTGTTAGTGTTCCTTAAAGCGTGTTTGCTTATTGAGGTCAAATAATATCTCCGTTTAATACTGTACTATTAAGAAGAGAAGATTAGGCTGCTTGAAGGATAAACTCACATTACATTTAATGTTACAGAAGGGCTAAATATTAAATCTTTTTGTTTTCTGCTAGTTACTCTCTTACTTATTCAGACACACACGCGAGTGCACGGGCGTATATAAATCAACACATTCCATAGGCTAAGCTAAAGGTTTATTTAGATAACCAGTATGAAGATGTTGCCGAAACTCCTTACGCAGAATATACAACAGTTATTTGCGTACCTCTGAGCAAAAGTCTTTATATAGAAATTTCATTGCGTATGGTAACATAAATTTTTGTAAAGAAGATGGAATATTCTCTTTGGACAAAATTTATAGTGTACTGCATAAAATATTGCAATGTTGAAGTTTGAAGTTTAAGTAATCTCTAAGTTTATAGTCACTCTTGGGAAACCTTTTAACTGTTGAATAAACGTAGTGGCAATATTATATAATATGAATGAAAGACAGTCAATCCCGATCACTACCACAAAAAAAAAAAAAAAAAAATCATCGTATGGTTGCAAAATTTTCAGCAGGCGTGAGTAATTTGAAAGTTCGTTTGGTTAAATGCACGTTTTGACAAGTTTGCACCAAGCACAGAGAATCAGTATGTTCATGTTTTAGTTATAGCTGCTGATGGCGTTTCACTTTCGTAAGAGTGGAATTTTCTGTAGACGTTGGTTTCAATTTTGGATGATGAGACAATTTATTGCAACACAATTTTGGCAAAGCATTAATTTCAGTAGCAAATTTAATCTTAAAGTCAATTCCAGACTCATTTAATTCAATCGTTACTATCGATTGATTAAATCTTTCAGAATGATTTATTGCATCGATACAATAGAATGATGATTTTGGAGTAGGAACTGAGGTTTTGATTTCACTTTGAGTAGGACTAGAATTAATGACACAGAGAATTTAATTCGTATCATGAAACCAAATCACATGCTTGATAAGAAGCATTAAACTCTTCACCTAACTTGTGGGTGCCAAAGGTAAAAGGTGAATAGCTATTCCGTCCTTTTGGGTAAATACAAGTAGAATAGAAGTTGTTACAATGTCTTCCTTATCATCTGAATTGCAACTTGCACGATCAGGTATAAGTTAATTTTCCACTTTAAACATGAGTTTGTCTTGATTGAATTTCAAACATTATTGATGTTGTTATGATTATATTCAAATAAAATAGGAGTTGTAGATATGTAGAATAAATGTTGGTAGATGCTGATGCCTTTAACGAATAATCACACAAATTATATTCCCAATATTAAATCGATTAGGATTTATTAATTCCATCTTCTATAAAAAAAAAAATTTACGTTACCATTCGCAATGAAATTTCTATATAAAGACTTTCGCTCAGAGGTACGCAAATAACTATTATATATTCTAATTTATTATTATTATTTTCAAATTAATATTTTTTTTTACCTACAATGATGTCACATAAAGATGGTTGCTCAGTATTCTTGTGATGAGATAATTTTTTTAGAAATTCAGTTTTATAACAGTAATATACTGCAGAGGAATATTTTTAAATTCCGTAGCCTACGAAATAAAAAACTGTTGAAGAAAAAACACCGGGATTCTGGGATGAATTTTGCTTGTAAGTATTTTGAGAAATCTAATTTTATTCAACATTTATTCAGTATTTAGAGAAACCTCATAAGTTGTGGAAAATATTTGGTTAAAAGAAACGAATATTATACTACAGGGCCACATTTAATTTTTTATGTATGGAGAAAAATAATGTCAACCAAAAAATAAAAATAATTGTTTGTACAGAAAATAAGAACCTACGCACATCAAATTGTCTTCAAATTTAGTGACGGCGGCAGAAGAATTATCGTTGAACTTTCGAAAGGTAAGTTTAAATATTAATGCAATACTTAAATACATCGATCAATTTTGAGTTCTTCTATAGTTTATTGTTGCCTATCGCATACGGTATCAGTATGCCTCGTAAAAAGAAATCTCCGTCAAATGAGGACTAGCTTGCATTTTAAAAAGTCAAAGCTGTAGCGATGAAGAGAAAGTCCTTTGCAACTGAGAACCTCAAACAAACTGCATCCAAGAGAGCTTCCAATGCTGAGAATATGCAGAGACTTATGGACACTCAAACTCTTGATCAAGCTGAATGTCCAATCATGAGCCCTCCTCAGAAGCTAGGTTAAATGCCGCCCGATAGGGTGATTTTTAAACTAGTATAAAATATATTCCGGAAAATATAGCCCTGTATTTTATTATATTACTTTATTAGGATTAAAGATTTTTTTGGTGTATCTTAGTGTAACCGAGTGCGCTTTAGAAGGGAGATTGAAAATAAAATGAAAATGACTTTATTATACTGGCATTCCCACATTGTGAAATATGACCAGCAGACGTCGTATGCACTTAGCAATAAGGAACGCTTTCTATTTATTTTGAGACAAGCAAAAAAGGAAGAAAACTATGGCAATAAAAGTCGAACACAATTACTGGTACTGCAATGGAGTGACATTTGTCTGCAAGAGTTACAGTTAAGCAATGACCTGAATCAAAATTGAGAAGTTGTAATTAAAAAGGAAAAGGAAATTGACTTCAGAGCAACTTCCGTCTTGCAACTGCTGATTCCGAAATGCTTTCATGTTATTAACATCTTCTAGTGTTGCAAGCAGCAGCAAATTTGTCTTAGTGGTGAGAACAATGATAAATAAGGTGAGAGGACAGAAATATCTACTTAACCCTTTACCTGCCACGAGCCCCATTTGGGGATCTGTTAAAATTAAACTCACTCCATGTTATTCCTTGTATTTACATTGAATTGCTTACGTACATTGCATTTTCAGAGGATACTTTACAACACTGCCTTTAAAGTATTTTATTATCAGCCGTAAGAAGACACTTTCTGTCGTAATTTTACATTTTACGAGTAGAAAAATAATGACTATTTTGAAAAGTTTTTTTTATTATTTCTAATCAAAATTATTTTTGATGTTTTATACACATATATATTTGATGTTCTAGTTTCTATAAAAACGACAATGGTAACTACTGAAATTAAACATAAGGAATAAATAAACTCTTAAAACACCTGTCTGGGCCTAAAATGCGCATTAAAAAATTTGGCAGTTAATGGTTTAAATTTAAGGAAGTAAAGTAGAATTGCGTAGTGATAGTACAACATTCATAGGCATACACACGCATACACGTACGCATACGCATATATAAAGGATAATTTGTTTTATTTGATAAAGAATTTCACCGAATCTGAATTTAAATGTGAAAAAGTACAGTTAAGGAGCAAAGATGGAAACTGAATTAGATCGCGGTTAAAAGAGAAGTTAAAAAATACTGAAGTAACATCGAGACGCAAAGGAAAATGAAAAAGTAAAAAAGGGGATAGAAGAAAGGGAAAGAGAAAGAAAAAAAGGAAACAGAGATGAAGTAGAGAAGAAAACAAAAAAAAAATGAAGAGAAAATGATCGACGGAGATGACTTGATAATATTTCCATGATGTAAAAACAAGCACGGATTGAAGTGAAAGTGGCATTTTCATAATGCGTCACTTTTCTTTATAGCCACGAATGTCGAGATATACCAAGAAGGAACATGGGTTTAAAAGCAGAAACCAATAACATAAGAAAAGGAATACATGACAAAGAAAGACAGGACACCATTAAACTAAACAAATTACAATGAGGACAATTTGTGTTAAAGAGTCTATATCACTGGTATACTGTCGTTATACATGCATTCACACACACACACACACACACACACACACACACATATATATATATTATAATTTTATCATATAGACAAAAACAGTTTACTCACTACAAAGATGCAACTTCGTTTCGGTGCATTTCAATTGCACCTCGACTGGTGAGAACCAAAAATGTTTATGAACAATTTTGCTTGTAAGCAAGCCGTGTGAACGTTAGAATTTATATATTATTTTCGTTTTCATTGCATCGGGTACGCACACACACACACACGCACGCGCGCAAACACACATACACACACACACACACACACACACACACACACATATATATATACATATTAGGACCTTGAATAAGTTCTCGCCGATTTTTCAAGAAAAGTAATGTTTTATTTACAAAAATTAGTAAGAAACCTGTCACTAAAAGTATTGTCCATGGCTAGCCACTACTTTTCCCCATCTTTCTGGCAGCATTGGAATTCCGCGTCGAAAAACGACACCTTTTTAGGCTAACCATGAGTCGACCTATTTTTTGGCATCTTCATAAGAATGAATGTGCTGTTCAGTCAGGCCATGTGCTATCGATGGAAACAAGGGATAATCGGACGGGGCAATGTCTGGTAAATAAGGCGGGTGTCGTAGGACTTCCCATTTTAGTGTTTGCAAGTAGGTTTTCACTCGTTTTGCAACATGTGGCCTAGCGTTGTCA